AAAAGATACTTCGGATGCATTTATTTTGTTTAGTACTGATCTTCATAGAGCCACCTTAAGACTATTAACTTTGCAGATATATTCGATTTAATATATATGCGTTGTTAATCAACCGTGAGGTCGAGATGACTGGATATTGGCCGAGTTCTTTTTTTGCATTTTTATGGACCTCGACTCCGTCTCGGTCCATAAAAATGCAGAAAAAGAACTTGGTCGATATCCAGCCATCTTGACCGAACAAGCTTGGTTAATAAAGGATTTGTTATATTACAAAAAGACTCGCTTTATTAAGAATTAAGAATGACTTTTTTACTTCGAGAGCTGGGAAATAAAGCCAACTGTGTTTGTAGCACGACAAACTCACTAGAGTCGTTTCTGTTTGTTTTGTTGTGACTATCTTCTACCGCCTTTTGCGTTTCCATCTTCAACATTGTCCAAGAATTTATTAATTTAGTTCTAATTCAATTTTTTTTTTTTTATGCGCGGGATCAATGCAGGCAATCCTGAGCGGGCAAGATGGGCCCATCTTGCCCGCTCGGGTAGCCAATTAGAACTGATAGGATTCGCTTCATCTTGCCCACGGACGCTGCGAGCAATGTAATAAGACATAATATAACTATGTAACTGAAGCTTACCGCAGCATGCCGCACTCGGTCCATATTTTCTAAATGTTTTCCCAGTATCTATTCCTCCAAAGCACTGCCCTCCATTTTGCAGGGCGAACATAGGTAAATTTTTCGCGAGAGCTACCTCAGCACATTTCATGAGAGCATTCACGCGAGATCTGTAATCTGATTCTTTTAAGAGAGGATGCTTTCCTTCTAATTTTTCTATCGCACGATCTCGGTTATCCCTCCAGCAACCATCACTTTTGAAAGCTGAGAAGATTATAAATGAAAGAAATTTACCGATCATTATTCTCGCCAGCGTGAATTATACTAAAAATTCTAAAAGAAACAAGCATTATCGTTTTTTAATATATAATTGCTCTGACCAGAGAATGCTTCATTCCTAAGGATTGCTTTTGAGTTTTACTTAAGTTTTCAAAACAATTTAATTTTTTCAGATAGTAGGGTAGTTCTCTACCGGGTGAAGTCCTTATTTTTACCAAATGTTTTCCCATATCTCTCTGGACACCCTGCATTGAATGTTGGAAATGATGAAAAGGCTCGTCTGTAGAAATAAAAATGACTCACATTTCCCTTTGATTTCAAATATCTCGCTACGATCCATTGCAGGTGCACCTGGGTAGCTGAAGCAGTGAAATCGGAGTGTCGATGTAGCTGGATTACCTGCATGAGTCCGCTCGTTTGAGGGGCGGGTTTTGTTTATTGAACGGTGAGAATGAGGAGATGATGCCGGTGGAGACGCCAAACGAGAAGTTGAACTTAGACTTCTAAATGAGCCTGGATATGACTTCTTCCGCATAGTTGACGCAGTTCGGTTAGATCTTGGGTATGAAATAACTTTCTCTAGTATTGAAAAAGATGGTTTAGATTCCAATCATTACCCATGCAGTTACACTTTATTCACACAAATATTTCGATATCATAGAGTGAGACATAACAATATTCATGATTACGTATCTAAACCAGCAAAACTCGATGGGAAGGATTACATCTAAATTAATTCTAGATTCTCCCGGTTCTCCAAGAAAAGGTTGTACCCCGGCGTCCTTAAGAATGACCAAGATGTGATTTACCCTCACAGTTCTGATTAGCAGGCAGTTGAGGAGAATAAAGAGAAAAATCCAAGTTGGGATAACTAGAGTTTAAAAGAGGCATTGGAGAGTGAAAGGATTAAAAAGTAAGCAACCAATAAGGGTTTCGGTCTCTTAGCTTGATCTTCTCTTGTTCTCATCATTGTATAGCGCTTTAAACCGATACAAACCATGTTCTTACCCGATATCAAAGCCTTCCCCATGACTGCCATTGAAGCCATAGATGCAAACGCCATATAAAATAACAACATCGTCACTGTCTGTAACCTTCACCTAAACAGTCAAGACTGGGAAAAAGAACATCTAAAGCATTGCACTTTCAAATAAAACCTCTTTAAGCTAATAGTAGATTTATAGCTACAGAACAAACTGATCCTAATGTAGCAAAGTAAAATTGCAGTATTGTTTGAGCAGTTGGGATTTAACGTAATCATCATATACTCTGAGAAGAGAAGGCAGGGCTGTAGGTCCCGAGTAATGGACTTATTTACCGACTTAATAGGTAAGGGTGCGGTAAATTTTGTTCATGGTAAAATACTTGACTTAACTTCCAAAATTTTCTCAATCTTTGAAAAAAATCCAAGGCAATGCATTAAACATCCATGGACAGTGCCCGTTTGCAAAATTAGTCTAAATTGATTTAAACTGAATGAAAGTGTCATAGAATAAGTAAAGGAAATATGCTAAGACAGTCGTAAGAGGTATTTGTATTTTCCTACCTTTGCACTTCTGCTCAATCACAGATAGAAGAATGTAAGAAGAAAATCTTGAAGATTTCTTATAACGATCACAAAACCAGCGTGACGATCAACAAATACCGTCAACAGGTGCAGAACACCCCAAAGTGTTTACATGATAAACAGATGCCTCTGAATTTTAAGCCTAAAAGAAATAACCATAAATGAATGCATTAACATGTAACAATGTAGGAGATATAGTTTGAAATTCCAACGGCTAGATTGTCAATCAAAACGAGAGGATGTACCGTAAAATATTGGCCATGGTGTTCATATTTCCTCTGTTCAAGTTGTCCACTCGACCGAAACGTTTACCGGCTACAGGACTTCTCAAACTTTTACAAAGGATAGAATGTAAAACAGAATTACTGACCTAATTTTTTCTCTCTCAGTGCTAAAATTCACATTAACGACAAATTCCCTATCTGGTGACATCTGTCAAAATCTACCAATTGCGTTTCAAGAGACCTCTTTGTAGCAGGTTTTTATCATAGAATGTCAGTGATGGGCGTGGTCAAGACAAGATTACGTCTTAGTGCATCTTCTATTTTGAAAAATACCTAGTTTTACTCATAACTTTACATGAGCAATAGGCGAGGGATGACTGTTATTAGTGAGGTACTTTTTATTTTCTTATTCTTTTCCTTGATGTCTTGAATATACCAACAGTCTTACGTAAAGATTCTCGTTGGATTGTGAGGTTTCATAAATGTAGAACTAGTAGTAATCATGGATCAGTAAAACTTAGGAATGGATATTTTCGTCTCTGTCTAATAAAATCCATTGTTTAGTTAAACTTACGAGCATAGTATGGTGGTTTAGCTCACAATACTGATCATTTTGTAACAACTCATCTCGTTCGATCAAATGGCTGCAATTCAACTACGTTCATATCTTCTTTAGTTGTTTAATTGGTTCATATACGTTAATTGGTTCATTCGGTTCATTTATTTCACACTATTTACATAAAATTAACATAGATAGAAAAGTAAAGTTGCAACAAATGATTACAGAATAAAATAAATAAAGTAAAGATTATAAAAATGTGTGTGGTGGCCAAAGTAGCAAAGGCTTTCTAGTTGGCCACTTCCTACTTTTAGATAAATAAAGAAATAGTACTGAGCTGGGATTAATGTGCAAGAAAGAATTACCGGTATAAATTTAAGGTATGTTGGAGATATATTGAACCAGGCAAGAATCTATATAGGAAAAGCTTAATAAGAGAAGAACAGACACACATACAGACAAACAAACAATAGCAACAACAATGGACCAAAGCAGAGACAGGGACAAAGGAGAGGAAAAGAACAACGCATCATCAGCAACAATAGCAGCAGCAGCAGCAGCAGCAACAAAGACCTACATATAAGTGGACAATTATTATTATTATTATTATTATTAACCGTTATTAATATAGTTATTTACATATGGATTGTTACATACTATATATTTGATCACTAAACAGATATCATGTATTATTTCATTGACGAGATATCAGGTGGGCCATATAAAGCCTCTTAAACCTGTTAAATGTTCTTATTTTTTTCAATGCCAAGGGGACAGTTTCCCATATAACAGAAGCAGAGTAATTAAAAGTAAATTTTCCTATGTTTGTTCTGACTTGTGGTCGGTGGAAGTTAAGTTTGGCGGATTGTCTGGTGTTATAGGAGTGGACAGCTGTTATAGGTATTAAAAAATTATGGAAAATTGCAGGAATAGTTGTTGGATTGTTATTTGGTTTAAATGCAAGTAACCAGATTTCGAATCTCACAACATTTTCAAATTTTAAAATTTCAAGGATTTGGTAGTAAGGGGAAGAGGGCTCCCGTTTGTTTGCGAAAAAGATACTTCGGATGCATTTATTTTGTTTAGTGCTGATCTTCTTTAAATTATTCTGATAAGTGTTGCCCCAACACATTGCACCATAATTAAGATAAGGGTAAATAAGTGCATAATACAGTTGTCTTAGCATCTTTNTCATGTATTGTAGAGTCCAACCACGACTCATTGTGATGAAATTTTGTGGGCCGAGGCCCACAAAATCTAGAGAGACCACGCATGTTATGAGATTGTTGTCAACTGAGGTTTTAAGAGTATCAGTTATTTCTAAAATAGCAAGCTCAGTGGAATAGTCTTTTCTAAACCCAAACTGGTATTTCAACAAGATATTGTATTTGTCTAGAAACGAGGTGAGTTGATCATTAATATTTTTTTCTAGGATTTTACTAAATGGTGATAAAACTGCTATGGGTCTATAATTTGAAGGATCTGTTGCATCCCCAGATTTCTCATGCCATTCAGACCGAAGCGAGCCTAGATAACCGCTTGAGATCGATGCCATGTGTGTCACTCAGTTCAAGATAGCGTCGAAAGTTGGAACAATCTGACTTCGGATCAATTCTTGCAAGTGATCATAAAAACCACGGGACTGAAAAACAATATGGATACTACGCGTTCTCCTGCATAGAACGCAACTAAGATGAGGTCGACTTCAGGCAAAAGCTCGATTTGTGTCTGTGCACATCTTATCTAAGCAGCTTTAGACTCTAGAATAGCTTTCATGATAATTCGCTTTTACTAACTTCAAAATATCAATACCGCGCAAAGGCTGCGCGGTTCCACGGGAGCATAGCGGTGAGTATCCCCGCCTGTTCTCAAATGTATTCGAAGGAGAATGAAACGCAAATTTCATACTACGCTACGCGCTTTCCAGTTTTGAGAAATAAAAAGTGTTTATAAAGGAATTGGCATCTTAAGAACGATAGTGAGTAGTATGTGAGCCCGGTTAGCTCAGTCGGTAGAGCATCAGACTTTTAATCTGAGGGTCATGGGTTCAAGTCCCATATCGGGCGCAATACATATTTTTAGAGAAGTAGATAACTTTTTCTTTTTAATATCGGTAACCATGGACCAAGACGCGAGATATACATGTAAGTGTTTTGTTATTTGGTTTGTACTTAGAAGCGAGTGGTACTAGCAAGAAATTTATTGATACCTTTTGATTCAAATGATCGTGTTGATAGAGCGCACAAACAGCGTGGGCCAATAGACAGTCATACATATTCTCAGATTCAATTTTTTCGCATAAACGCAAAAACGAAATGGAACAAGGTTGAACTACTTCTCTACAAAAACACATGGTGCGCCCGATATGGGACTTGAACCCATGACCCTCAGATTAAAAGTCTGATGCTCTCCCCACTGAGCTAACCGGGCTCACACGATTACTTTCGGAAAATTATCATCATAGAATGGAGCACAATAGACACCACATTTAGGCGCATTTAATTTTTGATACCTGGTAAGCGAAAACGGTAGTATCAAATTTGCATTTCATCTACATCCGATTGTCTATTAATTTATTAATTAGTTCTAACAAGTCTGTCATCTTCCTGGAAACGGCCAGTTTCGTTGGCTGCTTTTTTCTTCAAGGTGTCTTATTTGAGGTGCAAACAGTTCTAACTGTTCCACAATATCTCAAACTTGCCATATAGAGTAAACATTAGCTTGAGTCTAAAGGGTTTCACTGTAATTCGCTCTGTGTCATGTCGAAGGCTAATTTTATTTCCAAATATCTGGAATCATGGTTGAAAGTGGAAGTTATATAATTGATCAATAAAAATGGGATCATAATCCCAAATTTTTATTGTTGAACCATTCCCATGCACAATGACACCAAGGATTTATAAGCGTTTTAAAGTTAGATCATGTCGATTAGAGTTATGATTAACAAACAATGCTACTAGAAATAATCTGTTCATGTTGTCCTTCAGCAGCATTGTTAACGATACAAACTGTTCGAATGAGGCCTTAAACTGCTGTAAAAAATAAAATTTAAAATCCAAGCTTTCGCCGATCAACGGCGTCATCAGGGATCAGAAAATATTGCGGGCGCGCTGTATATATGCAAAGAGAGTGTGTGGTGAAATGCGTAAAAGATGTGACTATGTATGAAAATGCTGTTAGACCTGATACTTGAGTGAAATATTTGTACAACTTCAGTGGCAGATCTAGGGGAGGGGCCTGGGGGCCCGATCCCCTCTTATTTTGGGTAAGGAAAGAAAGCCGGCAGGTGTGCACACACACAAACCGCACACCCCCTCGCTTAGCTCAAGGTCTCGATCCGCCACTTTTCTCTTTAGCCCGAAATTACAAACCCTTGCCAACTGGCATTTACTGATTTTACTTGCCTTGTAATTTTTTTATCCCTCTCTGTCAAAACTTTGACAAAGGTAACAATAAAATCTGACAGAGACACGACGTGGCTTTTTCTCGTGGTACATTGAAATAATTACAAGACTAAACACCGAAAGCGTCTTTTTTAACTTCCCTTACCATAAACACGTATTAAATTAAACATCCTCCCCTAAATATTTGTTCAATCCTCGGTAGTATAGTGGTGAGTATCCCCGCCTGTCACGCGGGAGACCGGGGTTCGATTCCCCGCCGGGGAGACATTTAGTTTTCACTTTTCATGCTTTTTTTTTTCGCTTTTTCTCTTTTGTTGCAGCTATTGTGGAGCGTAAGTACACTTTCTTTATTCTGTCTTCCGATGATGGAGCATCGGCTACGTTTATTTTCTTCCCAATTCTAATCACACTGACCGGTAAATAATTGTTAGTTGATTCATTTTCTCTTCCTTTTTCTCTTTCTTTCAGTGTTCCAAAAGTTCGCAAGAGGCTAAAGATTTATATTAGTACATGCGAACAATAATTGTTTCATAACCGATAAATTTTCGCCAAAACCTCCGCACACGAAGAGGATGCACTTGACCTTTCGGAAATGAAAGCTTGTGACCAGTTTCAAACTTTATTAACAATTAACAAAGCAGAATCAAAACAATGGCGCTCGGACAGTAACCTGCTCTTAAGGTCAGTTGATTACACTTTGCACGTCAGATTTTTATTAGTAAAAGCTTGATACTATCACGAATTGTGATAAAATTTAATCCAAAATTGTATCTGTTAAATTGACATGTATCATGAAAACTGAAGAATGGAATTATAAGCAAGAATCTTGAAAACAGAGACTACTTTTCTTTTATTTTCAAACAAATCATCTATGAAAAACATTAAACTTATAACCTGCACTTCCTCCTCCCCTTGTAGAGGATATGGGATAATTAGTAAATAAATGAATATTTGGCCGAGAAGCGAAACTTCGAGGGCAAATATGAAATTTTTAGGACAATCTCTCAGCCAAGGACATTATCAGCCGACATACCAGCAAGCCAGAACGGGGTTTAATTATTTTATAACCCTCCCATTAATTTTCACATCGCAATTAAACTGCGCGAAAACACAGTAAAAAAGCCAGTGGTGATCTGATGGCGAATGCGCGTGATTGACGCAAGCAAGTTTGGTTTCCTTCCATGTAAATAGGAGAACGGAAAAGTTGAAACTCTTGTGTTGACTACGTTTCTTTTTCACGTAAAAATCGGAGGACAAATATCGACGCGGACGAGGGTTATTGCGTGATAACTGTCCTGTGATTTTGCACCACGTGACGTAAAGTAACCAATAAAATCACGCCAAAATTAATGGGTGGGTTATAAGATAGGATAACCTTCAGTTAGCCTTATAATAATTATTATCATTTGGTCAAAAAACTAGTTCAAATGTGACCCTGAACTTCGATGGCTTTTGTTAGCGACAAAGAAATCTGTAAGAAAGAAATATTGGTTAGATTCAAAACAACAGGAACAATAAATATCACTTGTCAAAAGCTTAAAACTTAGACCCCAAATAAATGAGCTAACTTTCTATAACAGCAACACCTATACTGTTGGTTATCATTTTTGTGCTTCGTAAATGTTGAGAAATACCTGCAGTATCAGTTCAAAACGAAAAATTGGATCTCAATTAGCATGAGGGAAAGTTTCTTTTTCAGGCCAACCCGGTTGAAATCCGAATTTACCAACCTAATTCAGAACCGATCAAAGAGAGAGAAAACAGAAGGGTCATAGGGTAGAGGTCAAAAGCAAATAAAAGGTTTTCTTTTACTTTATTGAAAATATTCCAATGGAAATTTATGTAGTTTTTTAATTTTTTTCTGTACAATCACGAACCCTTAGTATCAAATACTGATTTCATCAAATGTTTCACAAAAATTTGTATCGTGTAGCATTTCGATTTTGTGAACATATCTGATCAGTTAAGAGGCTCACCAAACTTAATTCATTTAAACTTGTTTATCATAATTTGACAGGTGTATTAAGCCTTTGTGAGCAATCATTGGTTTAGAAATATTAATATGGCTTGTTTAGGCAGGTTGTAACCCAGCGGTTTATGGTCTTATAGCGTGGTCAGTGGACAATTGTAGGCAGGTCTAAACAAAAAAACAAAAAAACGCTCTAAAACTTGATCAGTATCTCGAGATAGTAAATTAATTTTAGACGACCATGTTGACCTATGTGCAACTCGTGAATTTGCTTCTAATTAGAGCTATTTACGGGTACAACTTTGAAAAGACGAAAATGCATGCAAAGAAGAACCATTATTTCTTCAATGGCTCTTCGCAAAGCTTGCAAAATTCAAGTTCTGACTTTGTTCAAGGAGAAGTGACTCAATATTTGAGAGAACATCCTGAGGATTCAAGAATCATCAAGCATAACTACTTCTTCCTTGATAGTCGGCCCCCTGAGTGTCCGCCGTGCCGTAAGTCGTAGCCTTTTTGAATGATTGTATGTCGCTTTCCACAACCTGATTTAGACTGGCAAATGATGGTTTCGTAGCTTATCTGGTTAGTGATGGCCGAATGATCGACAAACCGGCAGACTGACCTACCGACGGATCGACAGATTAAACGTCTGAAAGACTAACTAATTCATCTCACCGACCGAACTACTAAACATGGATTGGTTTTCCCCACGTCTGACAGTCTGTCTGTCTGTTTGACTGTTCGACTGACTGTTGATTGAGTGATTAATTGATTGGTCAATTGACTATTGATTGATTGATTGATTTGATGCAATGTTTTCTTTTTGCAGCTCTGCTGAGAAAGCCTGGCCCTTGTAAGTAGAGATGGCATAATATCGATTAGGGCTTGTCCGGCTTGAAAGCTTTTCATGCTGTACTGATAAAATTGTTTTTGCAGTTTGTTATGCTCACATGGACTTAGGATTTGTGATTGAGGCATCAGCCAGCGTCGAAAAATATGGAAAAGGAAACTTTAAAAGGATTCTTGACTTTGTAGAAATTACAATAAGGAAATTTGCGATTTCAAGGCGAAGGACACGAGTTGGTGTGGTCACATATGGCGTTAAAACTGATCTGGTTTTTGATTTTGAGAGGTGCACTCTTGTTTTCTTCTTTGCTTGATCTATGATAAATCTACCTATATTTTCTCCATTCAGTATTTGTTCTGATGCTTATATTTTTATCCGGACTGGTTGGTAATCACTACTCAATTAATGTATTGCAAAATGTTAAAACAACTCTGTGTGAACTCGCAATTGAAAGATGACCAGCTGAGATTTCCTTGAGATGACATTTGAGTCGTGCTTGGGCCATGGGATTGGTTTGTTAGTCGATAGCACTCTCTATCACACTTTGGCCGTGCCCATCACCAGAAATCGGGGACATTTTGAGCCCGTTACGAAATGTCAGCGGTATATCGTATTACAGACAATTTAATATGGCGGCGGTGGAAGTGAAGTGAACGCGTAACTTTCTATTTTCGTAAAACCCCACGAGAGAAAGGCCTGGTACCTTTCTATCCCAGAAAGCCAAAGGAGGCACCAAAACAAGGAAAATGGCGGCCAAATTGTGCAGTTACTGGGACTTGTATCTTTCGTGTTCTTCCTTCTTAAAATTGCGGTATTTAAAAATGGCGTATTTGGCTTTTGAGCTCTGTGAAAATACGAAGAGTTTCCCAGCTCGAGGAAAGTTTGCGGGCCAACATATTCGACCGTTTACGAGCGATTTAGTTGAGGAAACTTCTACAGAATGTATATCGAACTACGTATTTGCGAATCTTCACAAGGTTGTTCGCACGACAAAAGAATTGTAACACCTAGTCGAAGCAGATTTTAAGAGTTTGTATGGGAAAATGGAGTCAGAATTATGAGTTTACTCGTATACCTTAGGAAAAGGTAGGCTTGAATTTGAGTATTTCTTTATAGTAGTGATGGACGCTTTTACCGATGTAGGCTACATTTCCAAGTACGCAGCGAAAGAATATTCCATTCTTAGACAGCTATTTGAAAAAACAATCTTTTCCCATACATTTTCTTATACTGTTTCGGCGCCATTTTGCTTGTAACATGAGAATCGCCTCCGCCATATTGTCCCAAATTTGTGGCAATGAGTGGCGTTAACTCCTGTCAGGGAAAAATTCTGATTCTACGAAGGACATCTCAAGTTTTCTGAACCTTGCATTGCCCGACAAAGACATTACTCGTTTTATATAAGCTTTTCGAGGCAGTAGAAAACGCGTGGTACGTCTTCAACTTGACGGCTAGAGGTAAAAATGGACGAAGGGGGGTAGGGAGGTCCGCAGTGTGAATTCGACTCCTTCCTTATAAAGCGTAATTAGTAATTGTTGATTAACAAGGTAACTTAGCCCGCTTCAAATGTCTGTCCAATGCTGGCCTAGGACCACCCCAGTATCCTCAAGTGGGCCAACTAGAAAATACGGCCTTCCTCCCTCGTAAAAACGAGCTGCTTAAACTCAGAGCCTATACATAAAGATCATCCCCTCAAACTTTCAGTGGTTTTTTAGGTCACTATTTTGCTTTATGAAAACGGTAATCTTTACTTTTCCCCTCTTTTCTTTCAGCAAGCAGAAGAAATCTGTTATGGTTCGTGCACTGAGAAAAGCTTCCACACAAAAATTAACTAGCTCAAATACGGGTTACGCACTCGGTATGGCAGAGTACTACTTATTCAACAAGAAATGCAAAACCCGCAAGGAAATCCCTAAAGTTCTTATAGTTATTACGGATGGAAGGTATCCTATCAAGTTTTTTGTTAACATCAGAGCTTTTACCTATTGTTAGAATTGGTTCGATGTTTCATCATCGGAACTTAATTGGTTCAATAATATCGACAAATGCTTATTTTATTTCATTTGATTTAAAAATTTGATTAAATGTTTATGGATAAGATTAACCCTGTTTTGCAATTCAAAACCAATATACAATTTTTTTTTTTTAAAAAAAGTTGGGTCTTAAATGTAATTCGTTAAGTATTTGTCTACAAGCAAATCATGAAAAATTTCACTCTTTGAAGTTTTACCGTGTCAATGGACAGTTTTGTCTGATTTCTTTAAACAGAACGCAAGCGAAATTGATTTTCCATGCTTAGTTGAGCCAATGAAAGTTCAAGTTTTTTTTAAGTTCCATGTCTTGATATCTTCCACTGCCTATAATTTGTATTGAGAAACACTCTAGAATGCCATGTAGTTGCCTCATAGTTGTTTAGGAACTTTTTACTCTGTAGCTTAGTAAACCTCTAATTTTGACATCTCAAAGTAAACGTGCATGCAAAAATCTTTATCATGACCATAGGTCAGGTCTCCAATTCTCCTCTTGCGCATTCAAAGACGAAACACTAAAAGTTAAATATTATGGCACTTCAGGTCGACCGACGAAGTCACCCAACCTGCATACAAAATTAAACAGTGTGGTGTACGAATATACGGCGTGGGAGTTGGAAACTACTTTGATATCAAACAACTAGAAGCAATTTCCTCTACACCTGTTGGTGAAAATGTTTTTATTGGCCCGTTTAACAAGTTGCAATACATCAGAGACGATCTTGTGCGAAGTGTATGTTATGGTGAGTTGTAAAAAGCAACGGGTTCTTGAACCTTTCACTCCACTAACTCCTAGTACTGTGCGAAAGTAATGCAAATAACATCGCTGAATATCGCGATTTATCGGCGATATTTGAGCGATATTTCAGTTGGAATGATATATCGGCGATATTTCGCAGGGCTGTTGAAGTGAGAAGGTTAATTAGACTTGCGAAAACTCAGTCATCCTGCGGCGATCGACTCTTCGAGTTATAAATTCGAAAGTTGTGAAAACTGAGAGATTAGATCCAAAAGGTGTGATTCCTTACAAAAAAAAACCTACTCAACCAAACAAGCGTATATCTATGGTACTTTCTGCATTGGGCTTCTTTATTTCACAGCATTCTTTTCGTCAGAAATGCTTGATGAAGACAAAAATGCATAAGTGGTCTCACGCTAAATTGTCATCACCCAGTGATTTGAATTGTAATCTTTTCTCAACAAGTAAAAAAATGTCAAAACTGGGCTCATATTTTTTTGTCTATTCCCACTTCCATTTTCACAGGCGTTGGTGGTTTCTTGAAGAAACCCGGACGCAAAGAGTGCCTCTGCAACAAAGGAGGTAAAAAGCCGAGTAAGTAACTATACAGCCTTTTTGAGACTTACTCAATAAAATTCTTACGAGAACTCATGTCTTAGTCGTATACTGAGTTACTTAACTTTCGTTGGGGTCTTGATTTAAAAATTTTACCTGCTTGCCGACGATCGTTTTCGTAATTCATACAATGAAAAGTTGACATGAATACGTTTTTCGATAGATAATTTTGTGTGACAATCGGTTTACAATTTTGCGTCAAAATTGTTTAAGTGTATACTTACATAAGCTTTCTAGTGGACTTGACGCTTTTTTTTCCACAGTTTGTAATTCCAGTCAGGTAAAATCAAAGGAAGACAGTGGACCTCGCGATTCTTAGAGCTCCGATTTTCAAATGTAGCTGATGGTTATTTCCTGGCACTGAAAGTTGTAATAAAAATAAACCAATCACTTATGGGCTGTTTATGTATCATGCTTTACCAAATCCTACTCGGAAGTTTCGCCGAATCCCTCTCAGTCATACCTTCTCAGTAACCTTTCAATTAGTCTGACGAGGGCCATGACATGTTTTAACAAATCCCACTCATAGGTGTGATATGTAGACAGAAGATTAGCTCAATAGGTTTACGTGATCTGAGGTTACGGATTTTGTGAGTGATTGCAAATGACGGAATCCCTCTCAGTGATGTTTACCCTCTCAGCAGCCTTTCGCTTAGTCTTGCGAGAGCAAACGAAGCGTACTGTCCAAATCATAAGAACAGCTGCAAGAGTGACGCATACATGCACTTCCGTCTTCGCGCTCAGAGGGGACTGCTGGTGACCATTCACGTTGTTATATAAAATTTGAGTTATAAAAGACAGCTTACCCGGCTTTTTAAAACTGGTGTATCATGAATCGCAAGAGACAAATGACGTCGCGGGTCGTTGCAAATGTATTTTAAACGCAATTTTCCACCTATAAATACTGTGCAAACTGTTACTATCAGTTTCATAACTTACAAAAGGGCCTGGGACCAAACATTAGTACCTCGTATTCAACAGTGTTATCACCATTTCACAGGAGGGGCTTCGAAAGATGTAGGCATTTTAGACATTTTAAATTGTCCTAGTGTAACTTAGAAGCTGTCAACAATCAATACATGACGACAATTTTGGGAACTTTGGCTTTAAAAGTTGAATTAATAATAAATTATTACACGACGCGGGCAGTCAGAGCGCCAATAGCTAAAATCAACCAATCAAAATGCTCTATTGCCGGTCAATATGCACTAAGTATTGGACCGGGCACTGTCCCGAATGGCCCCGAATGACAACGCACTTGTTTCCCTTTCAACTTCAGTCGTATAATAAATCTCTTATTAACCAAGCTTGCTCTGGACCGTACTGGAAGAATATCGGCCCTCGGTCTTTTTTGTACGGACCGAGCTGCGCTCGGTCCGTACTATCAAGACCTCGGGCCGATATTCTCCCAGTACGGCCCTCGCGCTTGGTTAATAAGATATAAATATCCCGCTTTACTCTTATAATTAGCACCATGAAAGGAACAACAGTATCACCGCCTGGTCTTCCTTGAACTTTTAACCAATAAAATTAAATAAATTGAAATCTTAGAGCTGTACTAGGATTATGAGAAATGCAAATTGGGGGATATTTGCCTCACGGGTCATAGTAATTTTTTAGCCTCAGAAACCGAGATATTTCGGAAGAGAGCCCATGATCCACTATTAAATGCGTTTGCAAAACGAGACATCCTTCGATTGGAATACTCGGATCTTTTCTAGGCGATGGAGATCAGAAGATTCTCGAGTATTCTTCGAGGAGTAGGCCAAAATTACACTTTTTTTTAACTGTTAAAGAGACTTAAGACATTTCAAAAGATTACCCGCCCTTTTCTCTCTACGTGTCTATTTGTTTACGCCCACAAACACCAATAACATCGGGAACAAAAGAGCTACAAACAGTTATAATTTGAAAAACCACTACTGTTTAACGCAAAGATGGCAGATTGCAACTGTTTTAAGCGAGAAAATTTTCACCTTCTGCTTTGATTATTATGTAGTTCTCGAAAATATATGAATGACCACGCTTGCCAAAAGTTTATTTTGCCTTTCGCAAAAAAGAAAAAATAAATAGCTTGTTTGGATCAATTTAAGCTGGTTGTTTATCTTAACCGACCTTTCGTGAGATAGTTTTGAGCAAGTACCAGGTACCGCTCACCTATTAGCGATAAACTGTAAAAGACCACCCTTTCATAAATGAGAAGGAGAACTTCTCCTTTGTTTATAGGAAAGTGCTTTTTTCTCTCTTCCCCTGGGAGATGGATTAGAAGTGCGATTGGTGAACAGTTGAGACGAGGTAAGGTAGATTGATTATCTGATCTTTTAGATACAAGAAATGAAAGATTCCTATCGTTAAAATTTTGTGGTTTATAAATTTCATGCAAATGTTTAACTTATCCTAAGTTGTCCGCTGGGTGCGGATATCTAATATGAAATCTTATTCATAAGATAAAATTCACTTCTAAAGGTAATTACCCATAGAGATGCTTTTTCGGTATTTATCAAGGGTATACGTTTTGTTCGCAGGCATTGAAAGGGAACTAAGTCAATCTCACGATTTTGAATTTGAGTTTTTAAAAATTAATCGAATAGGAACAAATCTAAGGTTACCTTTTAAAGTGAATCGATTGAGAGTAACCATAAAGAAACACAGTTAACAAATAACTTCCATCGACAATTGCATCTTGTTTTTCACTATCGATTTTTAGTAACATCTTGATGAAATTATTTCAACAATTTTTATTGTTGTTGATCATTTTTATTCAGTAGCAAACTTCGATCGTTACATAATTGTAAGAAGTTCCCCCTCACCCAAAAGCTCATCTCTGAAATCTGATTACAAGAATGAAACTTTGATTAGTTTTTAATTTTATACCTACAGATCAGGATTTGAAATATTTAGCAAAAGAACATTCGATGATTTTCCTTGTTACAAGCAGAGGTTAAAGTAATTTCGGTGTTTTCATTTGAATACTACTTAAATTATTGAAAGAAACAATTTTAGTTCTTGACCTGAAATAATTTCTAGAATAATCACCCTACGGGAATGTTTCACTACCTGGTCAGTATGGGAAATATCTCTTCTTTTCCAATTATTCTTTTAAAATGAAGCTATGACTATTGCAACCAAGGTCAGACTGAGATTTATTGAAACCGGTTTATTCGCAGACAAAACAATATTTTTATGACATTTTTTTTTTATACAAAGTCATTTAAAACGACCTAATGAAAACTCCATCTTTCATAGAAAAGCGTGGTGACATTTAGGAGGCTACTGACCCTTAAAAGCAACTTTTCAGTCAGAGAGGGTCTGCAAAAAAACTACAACCAAACAGTCATATGTTAACGGAAATGGTGAATTGGCCACCGTAATGATTACAAAAGCTGACGTTTCGAGCGTTAGCCCTTCGTCGAAACGTCAGCTTTTGTAACCATTACGGTGGCCAATTTACCATTTCAACTTTGTTGATATATCCAAATTATTTCGTTACTCCCACCGACGCAGCCCCAAGCAGTTTCTTTCGAAACTATCAGCCTTTATTCATATGTTAACGGAGGCGAGAAGTGTACCATAATTCGTGATTACTTCACTACCAGATCAACCAAGAATTTCTGGGCTTCTTTAACATCATAAAAACCGTTATCTCGTTGAATTATGAATATGGTAATCTGCAATATTATTGCATTCTTTTAAAATGATCCTGCCAATCATTATTACCGATAGGTGAGGATGCGCAGCTCTTCGCTATTGAGAGCTGTCCTGTTCTTGCTAGTTGCTAGCCATGTGCTTACCAAGAAAAATAACACATCTACCTTAAATCAAGAAAGGAAAAATGTAACGAATGAAAAACGTCAAAATATAGGTAAGTACGTTCGTAAACCCACGCACGAGTTTTCGTAAGCGCCAAACACAGACTAGAGATGCCTTTTCTCAGATGTTTCCTTTGGCCTTTTTAAAAAAATTGATTGTGAGTGATGCCAAAGATGTTTTTAGAAGCAGATACGTTGCAAACACATGTTTTCATATCCTTTTTATTCTTATAATATTTCATATTACGCAGTGACAAGTTGCTGTTGCTGATGTCTTTGATTGGTCAGTCAGGTAACCCCTGCTTATTTTCAAAAATTTTACACACGACCCTTTCGTCTCGGATAGGAATGGTTACCTTATCCCAAACTTTAATTTGAGAGTAATAAAATGATTGACTGATTGATTTATTGAGTGATGCCTCGATAACTTCAGCAGAACGTTGCATCACCCAAGAAATGTAATTATCGACGGAAAAAGACCCTCTTTCCATAAAAAATACCCAAAATGGGTATTCATTTCTAAACAGTTGTTAAATTCCTGCGCTGACGATATAGCTCTCTTCTGTACTTGTCACAGCCTACAGTTATCCAAATGTTGCAATTCCATATGGCGCTGATGGTCTCCCTTGCTGTCCAGCCAACAGTTTTTGTACAGGTATGCATTCTTTTGTATAAAAATGAAAAAATATCTCCTAAAGTCACAGTTTCCTATTGAATCATGCGTGTTCCCGACGAATAAACGAAGCAGCTCTGGTAACTGAATGACACTCATCGTTAAGTGTGTAACTGCATGAGTGCCTGTATGGGTGAAAACAAGCTAAATTACACCGCCTATGCGGTCTGGTGTACCCCATAGGCATACAAATCGATCAACGACTTTCTGTCAAGGGTTACAGACACCGTCTACGATTAAGAGCAAAATAATATAAAAACAAAGTTATTACATCCATCTAAAGAAATTTTTGTGCCAAATCGGGCTCAATTGCCTCAAATTTCCCTGGTTGATTCAGTCTCGAGTCTCACTCATGACAAATGCGGAAGCTAAGTGACATTTTTTTTTTTCTGCTCAGACAAACCTCCCTGTCCGCCAAGTGCGATGCCGGAGATATCCAGTGCCCCTCAGCTGGATGCCGGGATATCATTCAACATGGTACCAGGTGGTATTCAGGAGCCAACAGCCCCACCTCAATCAGCATCTGTACTATCTATTCCAATTCAGGATCAACCAGAAAAGCCAACGCAACCGCAAATTCCACTGCATGCTAAACACTCTGAGGAGGATAAGACAAAGTTAAAATTACAGCCCAACAGAGATCAGGTGTATCACATCAGAGGAAAAAGTACGCACATTTTGTTGTTGTTGTTGTTGTAATGCGCAACTTTGCTAATGCTGGAGTCAGAATGAATGTTGTGTTGTTGTTGTATAAGATGCAGGGCCAAAAAAGCTTCGAAAAATACTTGAAATTTGTCTGTTTGCAAGCCTTTTTTTCCATGAGGGGTCGAGGTCATCATTAATCTACGAGGGAATGTGAAAATGTCTG